AAATAAACAAATTTTAAACATGACGATTTAAAACGATTGATTTTAAAAGGGCTTTAAGATGTACTCGAATTTAAGATTTCTCACGAAATCCGTTTTAAAGGCAAAATTAAATGGCCCGATTGAATTGGCTAGTTTTAGAAAGGCTTTTAAAGAGCATTTGAAATAAGAGTTCAAATGCTGCTCTGTTTGAAAGATATTTTTAGAACGTTTTATCTTAACTGAAATTAAGAAAAGCTTTAAGAAATTTAGTGATTCACTTATTTGAAATTATTGTTACAAATTATGAAAGTATTCTTTCTTATATTAAAAAAAAAAAATGTTCCGCAAATTTTAAGAAACCCCAGTAAGTACAAGTTAAAGTTTAAGTTACAGTGGCGGCCTCATAGGAGGGTCGCCACACTGGCGACGTTCCAACGGCCCACCAACGCTACCACGAGGTAACCCACTTGTACATGCTTCAATTCTCAATTGGTTCAATGTTTAGTTTCAACAATTAGTATCAATGCTTTCAATTTGAGTTTTGATGATATACATTTTCAGATTTCTTCAAGGGTATCGAAACCCATTTTTCAAAATCCCCCAAATTGCTATAATATTTTGTTTCTAAGCATGTATGTTATGAATATATGTGGTGGGTGATTTTCCTTGATAGAATGGTGTTGTTTTGATGGTTTTTCGGTTTGGATTTTCAAACTCTGTACATGGTCGTACTAAGATAAGAACTCGAATCAAAGTTGTTTATTGGCTTGATTTAAGTTGTTTTTCGTCTTGTGGATTGTGAAAATGAACTATATTTCATGGATTGTTAAAAAACCATGTTTTTTAAGGTTCAAAAATGACCGAAATGAGTTTTTATTATCGTCAAAATTTTGATTGTTTTTGGGCCATTTGATGTTATGGGTCAAAAAAGGATGAAATTCTAAGGAAAAACCCTTTTTAAATAATTGAAAACGGAAATTCGGAGGCCAAGAAATGGTCGGGTCGGGTCGCGTGTCACGTATTGGGGTCGTGTTGTAGGTTTCTGAGGTTGAAGATGAGAAAAACGACTGTGTGTTTTGATTTTGCTTCAAAAACGAGATGTCGTGTTCAGGTTGACAGTTTGTATCTTTTTTCAAAATAACGTCGTTTTTCTTCATTAACCAAAACTACATGTCGTTTTAAGGCTGAAAAATGCAAAAAAAAAAAAAAAAAAAAAAAAAAAATTTTTAACAAAAATTTACCCGGCCCCACAAACATATT